TGCCTTCTCTGTGACCTACCTATATTGTGTGTGCTAATTGTAATGCCCCTTAATTCCCTTCTCCCTCCCTCCTCACCCACCCTCCCCAACCCTTCCCTTTGGTAACTGCTAGTCCCTTCTTGGAGTCTGTAAGTCACCAAGTTTTGTTCCTACAGTTTTGCTTCATTGTTATACTCCACAAATGAGTGAAATCATTTAGTGCTTGTCTTTCCCTGCCTGGCTTATTTCACTGAGCATAATGCCCTCTAGCTCTATCTATGTTGTTGCAAATGGTAGGATTTGTTTTCTTTTTATGGCTGAATAATATTCCATTGTGTATCTGTACCACATCTTCTTTATCCATTCATCTACTGATGGACACTTAGGTTGCTGCCATATCTTGGCTATTACAGATAGTGCTGTGATAAACAATAGGGATGCATACATTTTTTTGAATCCACACCACAGAATCTTACACCAGCATCTTACCCCTTGTTGAATGATTTTTCTTTTAACAAATCAATTAAGGAAGAGGGGACCACTTCCTTATAGAGCCTGAAGTGGAACTCAAGTTATGTTTTCAATCTGAGGAGCTTCAAGAAATACAAATTCTCTCATCTCCAGAGGGAGAATTGTATACCAGGACTCTTTCTATGATTTTATCTCTTTCTGCCCCCTCCCCTAATCTGATTATTTAGGTAAATTTTTTGAACAACTGCTATTTTTCTTATATGTCTAGTTTTACTTTCACCTGCTATGTGAAATCCTATATACTTGTGCTGTCAGATGCATTATAATACTCTTTAAAATATAAAGATGACTGTAAAAATGAAGGGCATTCCATCCTCTACTATTCAATGCTATCTATAAACACCAGTGATAGAAGCACCTCATTTAGCAAACACTGAACTGGAAATGTGGTTCTAGATATGGAGAGCAGCCTGGAAACCTGACTTAAGAACAAACATTTTCAGTACTTTTATTGCATGTGGTCTGAGGATCACACTCTGTGGACACTATCCTGAGCTTCAGGCTTGGCTTTTGTTTTGAGGAGTGGTGTGTGTGTATGTGTGTGTGTATGTGTGTGTGTGCATGCACATGGGTGTGTAGTTCACATCCAGATAGGTTTCCACTGACTGATAAAACAAGATCCTTTCAGGTCTATAAATCTGTCTTCATCACCATAACCTGTTGCTTTCTATTATGATGGCCTTTCTCTCCTTTAAATCTTCTAACTGGTTGTGTTTGTTGATGGTGTGAGCATGTATTCTGTCCTCATTTTACATAGGAGGATACTGAGGTTGAAATTAAATGCCTTGGTTGGGATCATTTCACAAGGACTCTGCAGTCCATCAATTTCCCCTCTACGCATGGTGGCCTATGTAATGACTAGATAGTGATAGAGGGAGGGGAGAGGGAAGGGAGTGACTCAGAAAATTTGCCCCACAATGGAAGTGTAGGAGAGACGGAAGAGAGGAGAGACATTTCGCATATGGGGCTTTTGACCACATGGAGTACAGCCTGTGTATTCCAGGGACGAAAAATACCAAGAAACCACTTGTACTGAGAAAAAAGTACTGTGATCAAGGGGCACCTCCATCAACTTCTCAGTTTTGGCCCCCAACTCTCTGCCTTTGGCAGCACATCTCATCCTGGGCCCCAAGCAAATACCTTTGGGGAGGCTAGGCCTTGGAGAAGCCAGTATTTACACACAATCTCTGTTTTGGAAGTAATTAATCTTCGAATGTATGAGCCTCTTTGTGGTGAAAAGCGCCACTGACACTTTTGTGTAAACACCGAGCTTAGCATATTGACAAACTGGTGGCTGTTACTTTGATCCCAGGCTGCCTGCTCTGAAAAGGCAAGCAGACTTCGGGCCGCCCCACTGGGCACAGAGGCAGCTCTAACCCCTTCTACACTTGTCTCAGATCCATATTTAGAATTCGGAGTCTTTATTTTCTATATCCACTTAAGCTCTGCTTGGAGTTTGTTTAGTACCTGTCTTCCTTCTTTATGCTTGCCAGTGACTCATAAGTTCGTTTTCTTAGCCAGGCATGCAGCAAAATTCCAAAGTAGCAAATGACCTGAATGAAAACCCTTAAACTCACATAGATTTAATCACTGCAGCAAATTGGAACCATTTGTGGTCAGGTTTTGATGGCGATTTATAAAGATTTCCCCCATGCCCCCCTTCACGTTCTTTTTAAGTGGCTTAGTTAAGGTTAGTGAGAAAAGGAGGCATCAATGCCAAGGTCCATAGGGTGGGGGGGGGGAGGGGATTAAAGTGTTTTTTTCAGCTTTTAGGGACATCCACAGTCACCTGAATATCTTCTAAGGGCAAGGAGCAAATCTGGTGATAGCCATTTTCAGCGGCCAGGGCTTGGCAATCCAGAAGACAGGGAGGCCCAGCTGTTTCCAGTGCTATGTGTTTCCACAGGAGGTTTGGGGTTTGGGGCCCTTTTAGGAAAATACTGTGTTTTGTGACTTTTGTCACCTCTAGTTACTCTAATAAGGCATGGGAAAGGTCAGTACGTGTTTTTCATGAACAGAGAAGCAATCGAACCCGATCTGTTATGATTTCTCCCCAAGCAATCTGAACAGATGAGTTTTAATGAAGACAGGGATCCAGGATTGAGACTGACCCAGGGCGCACCGCAAGGGCGTCAGATCTGTTTCTGATAAAATCAACACTGAGGTTTTCAAGAATGAATCAGAAAGGAAGTTCAATTCCATTTCATGACGGGGCTGAACTACATAGAAAACTTGTCTGTAATTAAATGGAAGCTTTTCTTTAATTTTGTTGTTGTTGTCATCCTATAACATTTTTAGAAATTTCTAGAATTGGGATTTCTCCAGTTTGTGGGGTTCTGTTTGATTTTCGAAAGCAGATGGAAAAGTGAATTTGCAAAGACTGTGGCAACATATTTTACTGCACAAATTATGGAAAAAGTTACCCGATAGGGTTCTCCCCCACCCGTGACCTCTTTTATCCCCTCCTCCATCTCTAGTTTCTCTGATTATAGTTGGAGAGAGAATTCAGGCTGAAAGAAATTTGATATTTATTTTCTGTGAACTTTAATAAAGAAAGTGGTGGGTTTGGGACTTTTTTTTTCAAGGTATTTTAGACAAATCAATTCTTAATTTTTTTAAACAGCACCTTTTGGCATGAAGTTGCTGGTGTGTGATTTATGGAGCTGCTTAAGAGGTTGTGCTGAGAGCTATTCCCGACAGGTCGACCAGAGACTTTGAAGGGGTTTTCAACTTTGGAAGTCCACTCTTCACGAGACCCGTGTTCATCCAGGCAGGCCTTTTAAAATGTTTAGGGCCTGAACCTTCGCTTGAAGTCCGTGTTTGTTTGGGTTTGCAGAATCCTTTTCCGTTCTTCAACATTCTCAGATGTCCCCCGTTTAGGCCGAGTGATCAGCCATAATCCACTCCAGCCCTAACCAGGAATAGTCCACTTTTCTCATAAGCGCATAACATAACTTCAGCCCCCAGGGCCTCCGTCATGAAATGAAATCCCAGACACTCCGAGATGTCTTGGGAGATAAGCGTGGCCCTAATCCCAGGGTCACCCAGGCCTGGAGGAGCAGGAGTTCACCTATACATCATGACATTGTTATCAGCCGGGCCCAAGCAGCCACAACCCGCCTCATTTTCCACAGGGCTTGGTGGCGTTAAGAAAATATCCTCCAGCGTGGTGTTATTTTAGGCTGAAACAAAAGTCGACATGAATGGCTGGGGGGAACAGAGGGGGCATTGTTCTCCCTGTGGCCGGGTGCTCAGAACTGGCCGGGAACTGGAACCCAACAAACGGAGAAGTAGATGCCATCACGTACCAATGGGCTATCGAGTGTCCGGTGGGATCAATGGAGCACAGAGGGCGGGCAGGCCGGGATTCTGCCAGTCCCTGGGTCATGGGAAGTTTGGTTTCCAGGGAAGAGGCCGCGAGTGCTGCCTGATTTGTGGTGGCCTGGTGACTGATGCAGGGAGGAAGCCACCTGCTGTGAGAGACAGCGAGGAGGAATACCTCCGCGAGCAGGCTTTGCAGAGCAGGGGCGCAGGTGGGGCCCGGGGCCCCTCTAGCCCCTCTAAAGAACAGTAATCTTCCCAGCCACCCTATGGAGCAGGTAACAGTATTTGCCCCTCTTACAGATGAAGAGACTGAGGCAGAGAGCTGTTGATGTGCCGGAGGTCACAGTGCAGTCTGGCGCCAGAGCCCACCACCCCTTCTGCTGTGCCTGATCATCTTACTCTCATTTTGCTCTCCCTGTGTTTCTCATTCATGGCACAGGGATGACATAGCAGATACTGTCACTGCCAGGCCCTTCGCCCTTCACCCTTCACCCTTACTGTGTCAGCATATGTCGTGGCCCAGCCCCTGACTGCCAGCACCTGCACCTTTTTTACTTCAGGGCTCCCTTCGGCCTTGGGAGTGTCTGTTCTGTCCAACTGTGCAACAGGCCAGAAGTGCCAGAAAATTAGCATCCCTAAATTTAATTAAAGACTGATGACAGTTGGTATATGAATACCCCAGCTCCCTTGCCCTCCTGATGGGAACACTGGGAGGTATGTGTCCTTCCCAGGTGCCCAGAGATCCCTACGGACTGAGCTCCAGCTGCCACAGTGGTAACTGGCTAGAAGATGCACACCTTCCTGGCTTCCTTTCCCAACTTGACTCATTTCCTCACTCCCCCACCCCAGCCATTTGTGTTTCCTGGGATCACCTTCCTAATATCACCTCCATTGAAACCAAGACAGGGGATCATACCTCAGTGCAATTACTTGAGTAATGTCTGCCTCCCTTATAAACCTGTGAGCTCCATGACAACTTAACATCATATTCCTGGAGACTGGCTATATGTCCCACTTGAGGTAGGTGTCAAGCAAATACTTATTAAATGACAGCATTTTGAAGTATAAGTTCCATCTAACAGAAGTTTATATTTTGATAGTTTGTTCTCTTCCTAAGCCTATATATTGCATTTAAAGCAGTTTTTATCCTTCATTCTTTATTGAAGAATTACTTTTTCCAGATACCTTACAGGAGGTTGGAGACATGGCCTCCTGTCCCCATCTGCCATCTTGCCTGGAGTTGGGGATAAACAAGCTTCTCCATCAGGCTCAGATGAATATCTTTGGAAGTTGTTCCAGACACTGGCCATCTGGTTCCAAAATAAATGTTCGCTTCCCAGATTGCATTTCCCATTCTCACTTGCAGGTAGGTGTGTCATAGGGCTGAGTTGTGCCAATGGAATTTTAGCACGTGTATGTTACTTTCCGCCCAGACCGTGAACACCTCCCATATGCAATCCTCCATGCTTTTCCCTTCTGCGGTTTGATGCCAGTGAGCACGGTTACCTTGGGAGCTAGCTACATGTTGAATACAGCAGAGCACACCATCCGAAAGCCTGGGTCCCTGAATCACCATTTGGAGGAAAGCCATGCACTAGCCATGAACACCCATTTCCGACTTTACTAGGGAGAAATAATTTTCTGTTGTGTTTGGGCCATCATACATTTTGGGGGATTTGTTTATTACAGCAACCAATATGACCTTAACTATTACTGGAACCCTAGGCACCGACAAGATTAAGTGTCCTCTGCCATCTGTAAAATAAGTATGCAACATGTCCAGCCAAGTTCCAATTTTCTGTAGGATGGCTACTTTCATTAAAAAAAAATCGAATAACACAGCCTTAATTTTTCAGTGGTGGAAGGTAGATAGTGCCTTACTTCACCGGTGCCCTGACTGCATGTTTGTTCTGCCTCTGAAGTGACCCCATAGGCTTTCTTTCTGGAAAGGATTTGTGTGCAGGTTAGCACACGGATACTTGCTCCTACCAAGGACCTTGAGAAGAGCCAGTAGAATGACTTATGCAAGTTCAGGAGCACCGCTGTTTCCCTCAGAGCCTCAGGTAGCTACTCCTGCCCTCCTATGGGCTCCAATAGCAAGGGAGACAGTTCGTCAGTTAAAAGCGGAGATTGCGTGGACCCCTCAGACCTGCCTTTCACTTCAAACCTCTGGAAATATTCACCTAAGCTTCCTTAAAACCCTCAGGGAAACACAGGCCAGCAAACGCAGGGGTTAATGGCCACTGCTGGCCACTACCTTCTTTGAGAGGAGCTTGCAGTGTTAGAAAGGTCCTGGTTTCTGGAACCAGGTAGATCAGGGCTTGACTCTTGGGCCTGTCTTCTTCTTCTTGTTATTGTTTTTTTACAGATGGCATCTGGAGATTGATTCCTGAACCTGATTCTTGGCTCTGAATCAAGCTCTTCTGACCTGGTAAGATGTGGTTCCTTCCAAGTAATGGCCTAGGCAGAAAGTAACATGTGGTAGGAAAGAGCATGGGCCTCACCAGGCTTGAAGTGAGTTCCCGCCTCCATAGGCAAGTTACTCAGCCTCTCTGTGCCCATTTCTTTATGTGTGAATTGTGATTGTATAGCATCCATGTTGTGAGACTCATGGCATAATGGAACACAAGGATAATATTTGTGAACTACTTGGACAGTGCTTGCACACACATTATTTTTCCTATACTTAGCTTAGTAGTCAGTGGAGATAAGTGGACCCCGTCCCTGTGATCAACAGCACTGTTTTAGTTTCTGCATGGAAGGGGCAGGTGACAGTGGTCTGAAGATGTATTTGGAACCTGGCCTATGAGGAGAATGGTCACCTGGTTTGGGGGGTTGCTCACCCGGAGCCTTTGCAGTCTCAGAGGACCACAAGTCGGCACGGCCTTCTGAGAAGACTTCTGATGCTCTGTCCAGATGGCCCTCCATCAGATGGGAGCTTCAGTCCTCAATTAGAGCATCCCTCCAAAGGCAAAGTGACCCCTGAGCAAGAGTGAGTAGCCCTATGTTGACTGTTGGGCCTCCAAAGGCTGTTTCTGGAGGGGACCTGGGGCAGAACCCAGAAGATTTTGGGCTGCATTGATTGCCTAGGGGGGAGGAAATGTGGCATTCACTCGGCCTTTGGAGGCAGACACCACTGACTATGCACAAGACGTCAGGCAGCTGCCCCTGCCCTCCCAGGGGCTCTTGCTTAACCACTTCTGAAAGCCTCGAACCCTCTCTTCCTCATCTATACCACGGGACTGTCGCTGGTACTTACCGCCTGTGATAGTTGTGAGGCCTGGCTGGGATCATAATGTCCACAGAGATGCTTTATGTCATGGAAACATGCAGTATATTTCTGAAAACATTTTTCCCCCCAAATATAGAATAGATACAGGACTTAAAAGGTTCTAGTGGTAAAAAAGGCTATGCACTGAAAAGTCACTCTCCCTCCTACTCTTGACCCTGACTCCCATGGGGTGTGTCCAGAGGAAACCACGGTTATCAGTGTCTTGTGTGAACTGCCGAAGATATTCTACATACATATCAGCATGGACATTTTTAATGCATATGTATGACATATACACACAAATGCTTTAATTTTCAAAAGTGGAAATGTCGTATGGTTCGACCTAAATATATGTGTGTGTATAAACAATGAAGCATACTGTTCTATATTTCATTTATTTTAATTTAATAATATTTTGGGGAAACCATTCTCTGTCAAGTCTTGCAGATATACCTCATTCTTTTTAATAGTCATGTAGTAATCCCAGCCTGCAGATAGACCCTAATTATACATTAATTAATTTAACTAGCCACTTCTTGATGACTAGTGCTTGGTCTTTTGTACCATTTATGGAGAAGAAAGGGAAAGCCTGCCCCTCAGCATTCTGCATCCCCCAGGCCCCCAGGCCCCCAGGCCAGCCTCCCAGCCTCCAGCACCTGTCCTGCCCTTTCTGTTGGGGAACTCCCTGGAGTGTGCATTTTTCCCTCTGCAACTGTGCTAGACCAAGTTTTGGGCTCCTGCTCTCAACCTAAACCTGCCTTAGATCTCTTCATAACTCCGCTTGCAAGTGGAGGCCCCTTAATTTGGCCCACAGGACTCTTTAACACTTTTTAAACCCTGTTAAACCCATGTAATGAGTTTCCCCTTGCTGTGCTCCTGGCCCTGAAAGCTGAGAGCAGGGGCCCAGCCCTCCCACCTGTTCAGAGATTAAGCTGTGATGGAGAGGCAGAGGGGCTGTATGGAAGGGGTGGGTCAGTGGGAGCTCTGGGGTCAGCCATGCAAGCAGGACTGCTGGCAGGAGTGGGGTGTGGGTGCCCCTCAGTGTCAGGCAGGAGTTCTTCGCAGAGCGTCAGGGCCCTGCTGCCTATTGCGGTGTCAGCAACTAGTCCTCTCTTTGGGTGTGGAGACCACTCTGCTGGGGTCAGGGGAGTGGGCAAAGCTGGCAGCAGCTTGGCTTGCCAAGGTGACAGTTACATGCCCCAGGTGGCACAGGTCTAGCTCAATGAGACTTCCTAAAATGCAGTCTTCAGCATGTCAGCACCTGCTAGAGAATCTTCTTTCCACAGCTGCCCCTTGTAAAAGGGATGACTGCTGGTTTAATGTTTCTTTCTGGAAAGATCTACCTTTCTTTCTGTCACACAAAGTCCACTTGGGTCAAAGTGGCTGACTCATATACTTCTTATTCCCAGGTCTGTGCATGTGACCCAGGACTAGCCAATCAGAGTATTCAAGGCCACTATCCATAGTGATTGGTTCAGGAGTAGCCCTGTTGAGCCCCAGTGACTGGTCAAGGGGTGGGCATGTGACCAGGTCTGGCAAATTAGAATATTTAACCCCTTGGCCACAGTAGCTGTTTAGAAATGGATGCATGAGCCAATGGTGGGCCACTGAGAATCTATCCCAAACCCTCTATGGGAACAATTAGATAAGAGGTGCACTCTTCCCTTGGAGGTTACTGGGGCAGACCATGACAGCTTGGAATTCTGTAGGTCAAACTGTCACTGTGAATGAAAAGCCAGTTGGAGATGGCTAAGATAGGAAAAGAGGTCTAAGAGGGAGAGCTTTTGGATCCAGCCATACCTGAAGACTTCACATTACACAAATGAACTCTTTTTTACTCAAGTCAGCTTGAGTTGACTTTGCAAGTTTCTTTCAACTCAGGGTCCTAACTAAAACTTATCTCTACCACAGATATCATATGCCACAGTATGACCCTCTGGGTGGCCTTAGCCTACCTTTCCTTGCTCTTCTCTGGCCAACGTTCCTTCACCAAACCCTAGAATTTATCTTTGATACATCCTCCTTCGACTTCATTGCTCAGTCCTTTTTCTCTATGTGGTAAACCATTTTCCTTTCCCTTTTAACGTGTCATTGTCAGCTAACATCTGACTCTGTACACAGGGTACCTAGTTCCAGGAAGGCGCAGTGCTCCTGTTAACACATAGCTTTCCACTTCTGAGGAGCTTGTAATCAAGTTGTAGGTTGCTTAGCACAAAGTGGGTGCTCAGTAAAGAACAAATAAGTGAACTGAATGAATGAATCTTTGAGTGAGTGAATGAAAGAGAAGGCAGGGCTCATACTAGTGATGTTTATGTCAATTTAAGGCAGCATTAGCTAGCTGCCAAATGGGCATGGACACCCCACATTCTCACAGGAATCAGAAATATGTGCAACAGGCGCAAGGAAAGTTTGGGAGGACGCTGTGGATTTAATGCCAGGTGGAAGCTTTACATGCTTTTTTTTTATGGCAATAGAGAGCTACTGAATTTGTAGAACAGGTGTGTTGCATGTAACGCTGTGCCTCAGAGATGCTAAACAGGCAATGGCATGAGGACTGAACTGGACAAGAAATGACCAGTAGCAGTTGAACTAATGAGGAGGATATTTGAAATACATCCTCCATGGGGTGATGTGAACCTGGCACATGGAGTTGTGGGTGATAGGATGGCTTTGGGAAGATTCCTGGGCTTCACTCTTGGAAAGTCTTTTTTAGCAGGTGTGCAATGGGGTATGATCTGCCTAAAACATTTTTAAAACAGCACCAGGTGATTCTGAGGGGCAGTCTGCACAGTTGGGTTGCAGGGTTTGATCCCTGGGTACTGGGAGGTTGATGGCAGAAACAGGGATGTGAGGAAGAGCTACTGGTTTGGAAAGAAAAAGACAAGCCCTTCCCTTTTTAGAAACTGTGACATTTAAGGGACTAGCAGGATGTCCATGTGTAGCCCTCAGCATACTGATAATGACAGACTGAAAGTCAAGACTACTGGAAAAATAATTTGGGAAGCTGTCCTTGTAGAGTTGGTGAACAAATCCAAATTAGTTGCCAATAGATTAAAACAGGGAAATGTCACATAAAATGGTGAATTTCTGTATTCTCATAGGAAAATGAGAACATTTGCCATCTTGGACCCACACCCTAGATTGGGGCTGAGAGGTGGCTGCTTCTGTTTGCAAGTGCTTTCAGTTTGTCAGTCTCTGCCCTTCCCTAATGCCTCACACTCAAGCCACTTGGTCTGTTTATCCTCCTGCCTAGTGCTACAGGCACTTGTATTAGTGAACCTCAGTGTTGCCACATGTAGGAATAAGCATGTGAATGAGGAGGCAGAAAAGGAGACAATAAAATGTTGTCCCCAGAGGTGGGATATGAGTGTCCTGGATGCCTTGGAAAAAAGAACATAAAATATTGAGCGAGCAGCTCTGACCCATAAGTTGCTGAACTTCATTGGTCTTGATTTCTTATTTCTAAAAAGGAGTTAATAATATTGGTTAAATGGGCTATTAGGTGCTTCAAAGTCTTAATGCCTGTGAGATTAGTTAATGGCCTAAAAGGGGCCACAGAGCAGTAAGTTACTGATGTGAGGGGGAAGGGGAGGACCCTACCAAAGGAGGGGCCTGAATCCTTCTGCAACTTACCAGTACACTGTGTGTCACTGAACCCGATAGTTGATGTCTCTGAGACTAAATGTTCTCAATTGTAAACTGGGACAATGATGCCCATGCACTAGGGCTGCTGGGAAGATAAAATGAGACTCAGTAGGTTTCATCCTAAGTGGGAGTTAGGTTCTAAAAACCAACTTAAAGGCAAAAATTGTGTACATTTAAAATAAACATGGCAAATCCTTCTAAATAATCCTAGGCAGTCAGCTATGAATATAGATGAAAATGTGTACAATGATGCTTACTATATAAAGAGTGTGTATAACAAATATGATTTTACAGAATGCTAAATGTTTTAAAATAAAGCTCTTTTGACTAAGCTCACATTGAAGAATTCATGCATGTGTACTTGTGGACCACCTATATAGGTAAAAAAAACACTTGAAAACTCCTTGTCAGGCTTTCAAAATCCTGACTGAACACATTGTATGCTGCCACCAGGTGATGGTTTTAAGAGGCCATTAGGAGGCTTAACAGCTGTAAATAAAATCTTTGAAAGTAACTGGGTTGTGTAATGCTATTTAATAATTTAAATATTCAAAGATAGTTGATTTAATTGACAATGTTTCATTTTGAAGAATATCCTTTGAAATGCCTAAAGCAGAGTTTAATGGAGTGCTTGCTGTATACGAGGTACTTTTTCTAAATGTTTTACTTGTGTTAACTTTATTTAATCCCCACAGTGACTCTGTTAAGTAGAGACTTTAATTATCCCCATAAAGACACTGAGGCATGGAGTAGTTAAGTATTAAGTAATCATTCAACGAGGAGATAGCCGAACTCCATTTGAACCACCTGGCCCCCAGCTCCTGGTTTAAGCCACATATTATTAGCTTGTAGCTCGAAGTATGTGCAGAGGGATGATTTAAGTGAGTGAAGTGTTTTGAGTGTATTGAATGGAAAAATGTATTTAAAACAGGTAAGAGTGATCACTCACTCTGTAGATTCTGGGTATATCATATGTCACCAGGGGGATAAGGCCTTCGTTTACACACCAAAATGCCCATATCTAAGTGGGGCCCTTTTGTTGGCCAAGAATTTGGTAACTACCTATTACAGCTAGTATAGGTGCCCAGAGAGAAATCCCAGCGGGCTAGAGGTCTCCTTAGAGGTGCAGATACTCCAGAGAAAAGTATCTCTAAGAGAACAGTGACCCTCAGTGACAACTTCACTGTTTGCTTCCCATTCTTGAGCCAGGGATGTCACTACTTCAAGGGGTGTACTGGTGTGGTGGGGCTGGGTAGAAATACCTGATGCATAAGGGGAGACACATAAAACCTCCTAGGTTTTTGAAGCTGGAGCTTCACCTAAAATAAGGGAAGTTGGGGAGCTGTTAAGTCTACCTTTGGGTCGTTGCGGTGAGAGAGGGTACAGTGAGCACACAGGGGCCTCTGCAGGGCTAGGCTACACAAGACCCTTCCTATTGGTTCGCTACTAGAGAATATGGGCATTATTATAAACAATAATTAGCTCTCAGCTCCCTTCTGTCATTTCTCAATGTTTCTGCCCGCAACTTGTTTTGCCACAGCTGAGGTTGCTGAATCCCAAATGAACCACTCTTTGATGAAGTCAAAGGTCATATTGTTTTTTTCCCATCCACAATTATCAGAGGGAGGCTGTGCCCTCCTCATCCCCAACAACCCCCCAGCACACCTCCCAGTTCTGTGCCACCTTGGGCTCCCTTATCTAACACTGCCAGGAGGCCCGTGCTGCTAGTTTGGAGCAGGAAGGAAATCTGGCTGGTACCTGCGGTGGTTCTAAACCGTGGGCTCAGGGTTCTTGAACACTCCTCCCATGAAGAGATGAATCCCTGGACTCTGGCCCTGCTTGGGACTGCTTTGTCCAACAGAGTATATGCCATGCGACCTCTGAGGCTAGGTCAGCAGAGACCTTGTGGTTTCCTCCTGGTTCTTGGGCCCCTCGCCCTGGGGAAAGGTAGACACATGTAATAAGTGTGACTGCCTTGAGACCATCTCGTTGGACAGGCCATGTGTCAATGCCAGGTTGCTGGGATCATCAACCGAGCTCCAACTCTTAGCCGTGTGGGTGAGCCCTTTTTGATGTCCAGCCCAATGAAGCCCCCAGGTGTGGCAGCTCAGCTAAAAAGTTGACTGCAACCTCATGAAAGACCCCAAGTGAGAATGTTCTCATATCCGAGGACATGGGGGAAGCCTCCCTAGGTTTATACTCAGGGCGTCTCGCCAGAGGAAGCCTGAGGCTCCACCCATCTCCTGCTCACTAGCAGAACACCCATCTCTGCTCACACTCAGACAGAGGGTATGGCAGAGCAGGTCCGAGGGGAAGACTGGCTGGCCTCCAACCAGGCCACCTGAGGCAAGAATTCCCTGGTGAGGCCATGCTGAGCAGTAGTTAAAAGATTGACTTTGGCCTCAACCAGACCAAGTTCAAATTCCATCACTACCTCATATACCTATGAACCCTTAGTCAAGTAATTTTTTCTCTCTGTGCTTTACTTTTCTCACCTATAACGTGTGACTCACGATGTACCTACCAAGTATATGGCTAGTTGGAGGATTATATTAGATTCTGAATATAAAGAGCTTGGAACATATGACAATTACTGAACACTAGTACTTTTTATCAATTTACCATGTTAAACTTGTGAATCCGCTTCTCAACCTTTCAAGATTAGAAGCTCGATTTTATGGGCACAGTAAGGGTGAAACAAACTCACATTAACTAGCATGGAGTCTGATGTATAAACCAGAATGTAAATGATGTTAAGAAGTATAGCTATTTGAGAGCATGGGCAAAACAGTGCATCCTTCTCTGGATGAATACTATTGGGAGACCACATTTTAATGGGAAGGTTGTTGGAAAGTATACAGTGGGGGAAAAAGAGGCTTAGAATCATGTTTCCACTCACCTGAGGTCTCTCATTTCTCCAGAGAGAGCCTTCTGTAGGAACATACCATATTCAAGTCTGTTGGCCATGACCTTCCCTTTCCTAGATCCTCCAACTTGTGATTGCCTGGGTTTTCTTTCCCTGTCATCTAAGCCAGTGTGGCCCCGATTTCAGTCATTCTGTCAGAAGATCATTCTCTCCAGGGTCTCTTACATTTCTGCATGTCTTCCAAGGGAGATACTAACTGACCTTTGGTCTCTTTGCGAGGATGTTTTTATAGCTAAGAGCTTTGGAAGATGGAGATAGTGTCTCTCCTCAGAATAAAGAGTGGGCATGCTCACTGCCCATTATACAAGATCCTAGTTTCCTAAACTTGGAGTTTCTCTCCCATAATGCAACCCCCTGCATGAATGGGGATCCACCTAGCTAACCTGCATCACCCCCATGGTCTAGGGAACAAAGGGAGCAGTTGTAAATATTTGGCTGGCTGTGCCATGAGCAATAACATTCCTTTTCTCTGATTTAGGTGTCTTGTGTCTTCATCCAGCATCCACAAAACTAGTGAGCTAACTTGTTAACTGGCAGGTAGGAGAACATCTCAGACCTCTCCCAGTTCCTGACAATTCCCATCCAGTCTTCCTGATTTTTGCAGTAGCTGCACAACACCTGTACACTTACTTAAAATTTGTCTATAAACCGAATCTTTTTCTTAATGTGTTGATACATTTAAAAAGATTACTTTATAGAACTATCTTAAATGGAAGAAAACCAGTATGCTACTTCAGAAATCTAAGCTAAAGATAAATACAACAAAATAAAAACTCAAAAGGCTCTGTGCTGTATTATCCCACTTCTAAACAAGGCAAAAGTATAGGAACAGAAAACAGATCATTGGTTGCTGGGGACTTGGGGGAGGGTTGATCTCAAGGGGCATGGGGTAGTGTTTTGGGTGGTGGAAATGTTCTATATCTTTCTTGTGATGGTGGTTATACAACTGTATGTGTTTGTCAAGACCCACAAAACTGTGCAATAAAAAGGTGAATTTTACTGTGTGTAAATTTTGCCCTGCTGAACTTGGCTTTAAAAGGAAAAAAATAAAAGCCAATATTATTAAATTCTGGCTAGAAATCCTTGTTTGCCTGAGGCTTGATCCCAGGATTGCTCTCTTTTTGCCAAGAAGAGAGAGAGATGTTGAAGCTGTGTTAAAGATCTCTTAGCACCAAGCCAGCACTTGCTCCTTGTCCTCATCTGGAGGACTTAAAGATGTGAAAAGGAATGCCTCTCTCCCTGTGTCACCCAGTGCTAGGGAAAACTGTGTCCCCAGATCACACTGAGCTGTCCCTGTGCCCCCTGGGACCACCATGCCATCCGTGCTTTGGAAAATGTGCCTCTAGGCTGATGGTCCCCTTCTTAGCTTTCCACTTGCTGTATACATGTCAATCATCTCCCAGGTGTGGCACTTGAGATTACTCCCAGGCCACCTTGATGAGAGTGCTGGGTGTTCCCAAATTCGCCTGCACCATCACACATGGTGGTCCTTGGCTGCTCCTGGGAGCCCTGCAAATACCTGATGCATAAGGGGAGACACATAAAACCTCCTAGGTTTTTGAAGCTGGAGCTTCACCTAAAATAAGGGAAGTTGGGGAGCTGTTAAGTCTACCTTTGGGTCGTTGCGGTGAGAGAGGGTACAGTGAGCACACAGGGGCCTCTGCAGGGCTAGGCTACACAAGACCCTTCCTATTGGTTCGCTACTAGAGAATATGGGCATTATTATAAACAATAATTAGCTCTCAGCTCCCTTCTGTCATTTCTCAATGTTTCTGCCCGCAACTTGTTTTGCCACAGCTGAGGTTGCTGAATCCCAAATGAACCACTCTTTGATGAAGTCAAAGGTCATATTGTTTTTTTCCCATCCACAATTATCAGAGGGAGGCTGTGCCCTCCTCATCCCCAACAACCCCCCAGCACACCTCCCAGTTCTGTGCCACCTTGGGCTCCCTTATCTAACACTGCCAGGAGGCCCGTGCTGCTAGTTTGGAGCAGGAAGGAAATCTGGCTGGTACCTGCGGTGGTTCTAAACCGTGGGCTCAGGGTTCTTGAACACTCCTCCCATGAAGAGATGAATCCCTGGACTCTGGCCCTGCTTGGGACTGCTTTGTCCAACAGAGTATATGCCATGCGACCTCTGAGGCTAGGTCAGCAGAGACCTTGTGGTTTCCTCCCGGTTCTTGGGCCCCTTGCCCTGGGGAAAGGTAGACACATGTAATAAGTGTGACTGCCTTGAGACCATCTCGTTGGACAGGCCATGTGTCAATGCCAGGTTGCTGGGATCATCAACCGAGCTCCAACTCTTAGCCGTGTGGGTGAGCCCTTTTTGATGTCCAGCCCAATGAAGCCCCCAGGTGTGGCAGCTCAGCTAAAAAGTTGACTGCAACCTCATGAAAGACCCCAAGTGAGAATGTTCTCATATCCGAGGACATGGGGGAAGCCTCCCTAGGTTTATACTCAGGGCGTCTCGCCAGAGGAAGCCTGAGGCTCCACCCATCTCCTGCTCACTAGCAGAACACCCATCTCTGCTCACACTCAGACAGAGGG